GGAGCCGACCGCCATGGCGTGATCGTCGGTATGTTGTCCCACTGTGATTGGTGCGGAATTGGGTCGATTAAGACGCGCGCAGGGACCCAGCGCGACTAACCAGGAATGGAAATAGATACGCTGGGATTCAACGTGAGCCTGAAGATCCATGACAAGAGTACATTAAAAATCAATCTGTAACGCTGACGAACCACTAGGTATTGATAGGGCATAGGGAATGCAGGCTTGGAACAATTGGACAATCTCATCAAGCCCTGCCAGTAGAGCACCCCCGCGCGAAACTGCAAGCACCACATTAACTAAACCTGGTAAGCACTGGTCGGCCGAGGCATCAATCCCGCCTGGTCGTACGTCTCATCAATCGCCTCCATCTGAGCAATGCTCTCGTCCCCATCGATCCACACCCCGGAACCTGCCCGACCCTTAATCCGATTCACAAACTCCTCCAGCTGGCAGCGCCAGGTCGTCCACCATTCCTGATAGGTATTGGAACGCTCGTCGCCCTTCGGCCAGTTGTATGCTTTGACGTACGTGGTATTCTCAAACGTCCTGACAATCTCACCTCCTCGGCGAATGATATACTTGTCGCAAATATCAACCCGGTGATAGATCGTCGGGATAAGATGATTCCACAGAGTCACCTTCCGTTGCAAACAGTGCTGCGATCCGTCGGCCTCTTCCTCAACCAGAACCTCTGCTAGGGTTGCTTCGGTCCTGGGCCATTTGAATTTCGGTAGAGCTTTGAACCATGACGCGGGTAGGAAAGACCACTCTCCCGCATATACTAGATCCCCCTCGATCTGTGCCGACTTTCCACTGTCAGTGACATAGGTAGCTGAGATTCCCACGTCAATTTGTGGCTCGACCGTAGATCCATCTGGTGCAGGGGGCCAGGGGCGATGTCGAACATCAACGGGACGGAGATGCTCTCCTCTACCCAGGACCTGCCGTACGCAGGAGAGTGGATATGTTGCTAGGTCCATGAGGCAGCCACCCGACAGTGCGTACTGGAAACGGATGTCATCCCTGGAGAGGTAGCCCTTGGGAAGGTGCTGCTGGGAGTAGACGTGCTCCACGGGCGCTTGCCATGGATCCTTGTGGACCAGTGAAAGGAAAGTCTGCCAAGCTGGGTGGAACTGGTAGTGGAAAGCCTCAAGGAGGACTGGGGCATTTGGACTAGTCACCAGGGGGTGTTTAAAGAGCTTTAGCGCCTCTTCCGCATTGGAACAGGACGGCTTCTCGAGAAGAACGTGCTTTCCAGCTCGGATGGAACGCAGAGCCCACTCATAGTGTAGGGAATTTGGCAGAGCAATGTAAATTACGTCGATCGACGGATCGTTCAGGATATCTAGTGCACCATTCAGATTCTTTTATGGTCCTTCAAGGCTAAGCCACGAGGAGATGCTCACCCTGGTAGGTGTCATGGACGATAGGAATGTTGTATTTCTTGGCATATTGGCAAGCTCGCTCGCGATCTCGAGCAGCTACCGCTGCAACAATGACCTCTGGGTGTGACTTTGCGGGAGTGATCAAGGCGATTGGACTAAAGCAATCTTGAGTCCGAAGCATATGCATGCCAATATGCCTACAACTTACGCTATGGTGGAGGCCCCAAGCAGTCCGAATCTGATGGCGTCATCCCTCTTGGCTGGGGTCGGCGGACTGACTGCCGCCTGATAGGCCCTTTTTGCGAACTCGAAGAGAATCATGATGGATTTTGGGTGGGATCGGATTCTGCGAGGTTGCTTGACATGACATGTAGGCGGGGTGCTTGAAGGTAGGACAGAGGGTAAGTATGACGGGGGGGAGGTTGCTGTGAGTGGCCCGGAAATCGCCCAGCAAGTAACTTCCGAATCAATGCGTCAGCCTGTTTGTCTGCTTTGCTTGGGATCGTGTGTAGTATTCCTTGCCTTTCTACAACAGTTAGAATTCCATGTCAGAACAGGGCAGGTTATACAATAGCGGCAATATATACACTACTAGTAGAACCGTTGTTTGTAGATCTCCGACTCCACTGGAGCCCTAGCATGCTTACTGCAGGCCTAGATATAGAGGGGCTAAAAAGCGTCCATCGGTTCTGCTTCAGCAAATAAGCCTGTCCCGAGGTATCAGCAGTACTGTGTAACGACCAGGCTTGGCAATCCCCCACATGGGCGGGCTCGTACCGGGGAACTTCATCGGATTTGCCAGTCCTGAGAAGAAATGAGCACATTTCCTAACCCAATCAGCCCTAGTGCAGCCATGCACAGGCAAGCGGCCAATGGAAATTATTCCCTGCAGCTATTCAGATTGGACCTGCCAAATCCATCGGTCATGGCTCTGCAGGGTCTGGTCGGTTTCCGGTGACACCAACAACATCCGATGCGCCCATACATTGGAGCTACTAGTATCAGGCCCATAATTGAACCTGGACCCTTTCGCATGAATCGAGCTTTCGCTTAACCCCTGTACTACAAAGTTTCAGCCCGAGCCCGCGTATAAAACCATCACAGACGCCTGTGTAACATTTTCCCAGGCTCAATTCCCCAGAACCACCCACCCTTCAGCACCATGCAGCTTCCTATTCTCTACCTGGCTTCTCTTGCGCCCTTGGTCGCCGCCCATTTCGAGCTCAAGTACCCTACCGGCCGTGATGGAAGTGAAGACGAGATGACCCAATTCCCCTGCGGCGGAGCTGCCCAATCCAGCAACCGCACGCAGGTTTCCATCTCCTCCGGTTCTTTTCCTGTGGCCTTATCCATGGGTCACTCCCAGACCGCCGTGGAGGTTCTCCTGGCACTGGGAACCGATCCTGGTACCAACTACAACATCACCCTTCATCAAACCTTCGAGATTGAGGGCTTGGGAGCCTTCTGTCTCCCACACGTGCTGTTCGACGAATCCATTCTCGGCACCAATATCACCGATGGAATGAACGCAACCGTGCAGGTTCAGAGCAATGGTGACCCTACCGGTGGCCTCTATGCTGTATGTTTTCTGTCGACCTTGGGTCTCAGAATATACTAACCTCTCCCAGTGCGCTGACATCCAGTTCTCCTCCACTGTCGAATACGAAGAACCATCGTCCTGCAAGAACAATTCTGGTGTCACTGCCGTGGCTTTCACCGGCGCTGCGGCACAGCGCAACGCCAATGAGTCCACTTCCACCGGAGGAGCGCAGGACAGCTCGTCCTCGTCCTCTACCACTTCGAGCGGCTCAAGCACTGCTACCTCCACTGGTGGTGCAGTTGCATTGGAGACTGCTGCGTGGGGAATACTGGGTGCTGCGGTCGTTGGTGGAATGGCTCTTCTGTAAGCGCTAGGTTATGAGCTTGTGGCTCTGGCATCCAATACAATGGCCAGGTACCGCGACTGATCCACTATGGTGCATAAGGCAACCCGGTTATGGGTCCAGGAAAGCCTTCTTTACCATGACACTCTTTTACCTATGTAGTGAAAGAGTATCTCGGCGACTTTCACACATTCCTCCTCTCGAGTCCCAAGCTATGCGGAAATGGAAGAACCAATATCACCTGTTCAGCACTCTGAATCATTGCTCACGGGGTGGTCTCGACATTTTCTGTTTGTGATAAGAGCAGCCCGGAACTATCGAGACCCCCAACTTCGGTAAAACGTATGTCGAGTTCGAATCATTCACCGAGGCTAATGAAGTCTTCTGGATGACCATCTTGAGGACACTTCCCCAGACCATCCCCAGCTCTCCTCATCGACCGAGGTTATATGTGCAATATGCACTGTTATAAGATAAAATCCTTCTTCTAAAAAAAATATTAAAAAAATGCAACATACAGTGTTGACTATTCACAAAAGCTATATCCATTTCGACAGGGTGCGTAGTTCAAGCATATCTCATCTTGTGGTGTGCTTCAAATTGACCATCGGAGGAACAGTCCCTTCTCAGGCGCCTATACAAGCAGACGCGAGTAAGCTATCACACGTTATGCCTGAAAATAATCCTTTCTAACCCTTTAAGACAGGTGCTCCGAATAGCTCGGCATATCTGAGGCCAATCTCATACCGTTCCTCGAATGACCCTGCTCAAGCTGTTGGCATAGCATCAAGGATCACTTTGCATCCTCTCAACAAAGATCGCACGCGGACAGAGGTTGACATCCGCTATAAGACGGGCCCCTCTCAAGGAGTAAATCTTGTACAACGCCAATCCGACTAGTAACAAACTTCAATCAAGGTACCAGATGACCCGATGAGATCGATGCACCGACTGTCGGCTTGTCCTAAGGCCATGTTAATTGATACTATGGAAGCATAACGACTGCTAAATTGCCCACGGTGATCATATCGGCAATTTTGTGGTCTTGCTATCATGATACCCGGATGCTGGTCCAGAGAAACCACTGGCACTTCAACGCTAATGCAGGCCAGCAAGGCTTCCCACCTAAACTCCCGGCCTAGTAAAGCCCAAAAGCAGTTATCACGCGTCCCACCTTCATTAATTCCCTTCCTGGTAAGCCACGCGTGGTTTCGCGTCCAATGCATGTCTGGGTTCAAAAAATGAAATCAGGTGGCTGAGAAAAGATTCCATTCATTAAAAAAAGAGTAATCTCAATGGCGATAATTAGGGTGATGTTCTAGGTCGTTGGGGTTGGATTCGGTGCTGCCTGGACAGTCTGGAGCGCATTCGCAAGGTTATCTATCTATCCTCTAAAGGAAGTTGGTACTACAAGCACCCACTTATCTAATACGGCGAGATGCATAGACGACAACCGCAGCTATGGGATGACGACCCCAACATTGCAGTCTCGCCGGGCGAGCACGAAGCCTGTGTCGCTTGCGGCGGACTCCCTAGGTAGTATAGGTTTGAAGGTGACGGTTCCGATGTAAGAAGGGCCGGTCTGGCTAGCAGGGGGGTTTCACGTGGAAAAAAAAGAATTTAATGCCCTTCGTGGGGGTCACCCACAGCCTCAATGTCACTGTGACATCACATCTGATTAAAGATAATGATGCCTAATAAGACGGTTAAGACGGTGAACCTTAATACAAGCCCTACGTGGGGGTCGAACCCACAGCCTCAAGATCTCTATTAGATAGAAGTCTTGCGCGCTACCATTGCGCCAGCAGGGCCTCCGTTGTTAAAGAGATGTATATAAATTGTTATATTTAGACTTGTACTACTGTGGCTGGCGACTTTAATTCGGGATTCTGCCATGGGTTGCCGCCTTATCTCCGTACGACGAATACAATAATCATCTTCCCCTCACTTCATGTAATCGTTTTTTAGATATATTGATTTATGTCCCGTATCAGAGGACTTTTTTGGCTGGAGAATCTTCTTTTTTTCATTAGAACTGCTATGGTAGGTTCTGACCGGCAGACAACCAAGGCATTGCGAAGCGTCTTAGTAAGCATCTCATAACGCGTTTTTTAAAGCACCTAGCGAAAGACTATCTAAACGGCTAAAAGGGCTCTGTCAAACGCCCCCAAAGGGCTCCCAAAGGGCCCCGTCAAGCGCTCCCAAAGGGCCTCTAAAGAGCTCTATCAAGCGCTCCCCAAGGCTCCGTCAAGCGCTCCTAAAAGGCCTCGTCAAGCGCTTCCAAAGGGCTAAAGCACCCATAAATGTAGTACTTGATTCAGGCCGTAGGTCTGAATCTACGTAAAGTTCTGGTTCAAACCTACAGTTTGAAGCAGTGTTCTGGGGGAGGCCTGGCCTGCCCTCCCTCCCAGATTCCCCCTCCCCCGACTGGTTGAAGCGGTGAGTAAAGTCAATATCTAAAAAAGTCACATTACATATGAAGGAAAGAGCTAATTAGAAGCCATAAATTTATACACTAATCAGGAGCCGAGGCTTGCTTGAAAAGACGTCGGGAACCTAACCTAGTGTTGCTTCGCGCTACGCGCTTCGCAAATCATGTACTACTAAAAAATGCAGTACTTGATTGAGACCTACAGCCTGGAGCTGTGTTCTGGGGGCTCTCATGAAACTGGCAATATGATCACCTCCGTGAAAAGACCTAACCGGTTCAACCTGCCTAAATTTAGCTGAATATAGTATATTGTACTACACATGGAAGTGAGGATATTTTCCAGAAGACCTTTTTTTCTCTCTTAGAATCTAAACAGGATGCTATATAAGATATTCAGAAGAGATTGTTACAAATCATGAGAATTTTGCCGCGCAGGCTCTAACGTATTAATAAGTGAAGTAGGTAGAAAGCCTGGTTGTCGGAGACGCTGCGTGAGGCCCCAGTCCTCACATGTCCCCATCACGTGACCGGAGACCCCAGAAGAGCGCTTACGACCTCAAGGAGGTCTTCAGGGGCGAGGGGATTGTTCCTATGAATCGACGGGACTCTCCAGTCCAAAGCTGGAAGATGCTAAAGGATCAAGGGATATGCCAGGGCAAAGAGCCCCACCAGGAAGGATATATTAGGCCTGATCCCTCCCTCCCCCCGTACATAGATCTTTTTCTTCTTCTAGTGAAATAGGGAGTCACTTAGTCAGAGACACGCTGGTGTGGCTATAGCACCTTATTTTCGTTGCCACCAACTTTGATGAATACCAGGGCATAAGAACCAGAACATAGTGCTAATTATTGGGCCTGCTTTGCATCCAGGAGCCCTGCTGGCGCAATGGTAGCGCGCAAGACTTCTATCTAATAGAGATCTTGAGGCTGTGGGTTCGACCCCCACGTAGGGCTTGTATTGAAGCTTACCGTCTCAGTTAGTTATAACTAACTAACTAGTCGGAATTCTTTTTACTGCCAGTTGAATGAAGCTTTGATTTGAGCATTTGTGTATAAATGTCTGAGGTATTTTATTTTTATCGAGGCTCTAATTATACCCAAGATTTTTTCTATTGTTTTTCATGCTTCTGTATTATCTCGGCGGTTGTATACCTCCTCCTCATAAGTAAGGCCTTGTGTTAAAAAAAATAAAAAAAAAGAGAAAGTTCTTGGAATCCCTCCCACAGAAATACAGTCACACTATTTGTATTCTTAATAAAACCAAGGACATGCTTTGTTAATTTTGAAAGAAAGCCTGCTGCAAAGCGAATATCTGCCATTGAATTGGTATCGTATCGAATCGACAGTACATGGTTGAAGCGCAGAACTGCTGACATGCAAGCCAATCCATCCTTACTGACATATTTTCCTCCCTTTAGACAGCTGTAATGTCAGTCGGGAATCAGAGAACTGTCTAACCCTGACCCTAGAAAGAAGTGGGCTCGTGTAATTACCACTTATAAAATATTCAAGCTCTATAGAAGCCTGCCTTTCACTGAAATAAAGATACTTTCTAGGTTTTTTAGTAATTAATTTATTTAATACTTTCTCATAAAGGATGTCGACCATTGTGTTTACTCTGGAAAGTAGATTTAAATTCTTATTTCTTTCATAGTAAGAGATATCAAATTCTTAAGAATTAGTAAACTAGACATGAAATGTAAGATAACAAATTAGATCTATATCTAATGCTGATATTATATAAGCGCTAGGAGGTCTTTGTGTAACAGACTGCCCGAGGGTCCCAGCTGCGACTGGTTACTACCCTGAGGGGTGGCCTGCAGTGGTGGTACGCTACCCGCTCCCGTGTGTACAACTGTACATGCCTATATAGGGGGATTCTAAGGGTCCGCGGGTAGCTGCGGGTAATGATGGTCTTTTAACTTGATCGGGCAAGACTAGACTGAGCTAAGCTAATTATAAGATTATAATAATAATAATAATAATAATAATAATAATAAAACAGCATGATGAATTAAATTTGTAATATAATAATAATAACAAGAAATAAAATCTTTGAATTAAAACTTAATATTATTTTAATGTACTAATTTAATTTACTCATTTAAGTTAACTATGGAGTAGGTATATTGGATCTCTAGTTTTTTCTCTTAATCCTTGTTTGTGTTATATTCCAACTAGACAAGTCAACTGTCTAATTAATATATCCAGTGCCTCCAGACGCGGGAGATTGTTATCTAGAAACACGGCCGTGCGCCGCCACCAAGGCAGCCTGTCTGGCTATTGTTCTTTGTCGTCACGTGTTGCTCAGGGGGACCAACTTCTTGTTGCAACAAAAGCTACTGTGCTTCATTTCTTTCGATTTTTCTGTGGTCAGAATTGAATGATTGAGCGAAGAACAAAAAAAAGGGATATATAGATGGATAGGTTTGAGAGACTACGTCCAGCTGGTATGTGCAAAGTGCTTTGTCGGGGAATAATGCCGAAGACTGACATCCGACAGGACCCCTAGAGAAATACTCCATTGTACGCCTACCGCTCAAGTTTTACTTCAATGTGGCGGTGTCGGCAACATACACCCTTCCCGATTCCTTCACTCTGCCCATAAAGGACTATGTATATAAGGCATGTGAAACATTGATCGGTCAACACCCCATTCTCTCTGCGATCCCAGATAACGAACATACCAATGAGCCTTGGTTCGTGCGTCTCCCGGAAGTGGACCTGAGCCAACCGGTGTCGTTCCAGAAGCGCTCCCGTGACTTCCCTGAGGGAGATGAGCCGGATGTCGAATTGAGCGAGTTGCTGCAAGTGCAGCATAGTACAGGGTTTACGGCGCCGTTGCCATACTGGAGGCTATTCATCTTGACGGCTGATGCGAACGAGCGGCGCTTCACGGCAGTTTATGTATTCCACCATGCGCTTGGAGATGGAACGTCAGGGAAAGCCTTCCATGAAACGTTTCTGGAGGCGTTACACGCTGCTGCTTCCTTGACCCCCGGGGAAGCCAAGCAGATTATCCCATCGCCGAAGACACCTCTGTTGCCCAACCTGGAAGCAGTCCATCCGTGTCCTGCCACGTTCGGGTTCATTCTTAATACTCTATTCAGGGCTAAAGTATGGTCCTATCGCAACCCAGGCCTCTGGACAGGGGCGAAGATCTTCGTCCCAGTTGACACAGTGTTACGCCAGATTGTCATCCCAGCGGCTGTTTCTGCAGCGTTTAGGAAGAACTGTCGCCAAAACAATGCTAGTATCACCTCTGCCCTGCAGGCAGCCATCGCGCGCGCTCTATTCACCCATCTACCACAGAAGTACACAAAGGTCAACCTTACTGGAGCCATATCATCTCGAAGGTGGCTGAAGGGGGGGATCACTGAACAATCGATGGGTGTCTGGGTTATGGACTTTGGGGAAAGCTTTGTTCGAAAGCAGGTGAACAAGTACCCCGACGCTTTCCCATGGGGCGAAGCGAGAAAATCCCGCGCGACAATTGAACGGGCATTGGGTCGCCGAGGCAAGAATACCGGTGTGGGTTTGCTCAAATACGTCGATAACTTCCAGGAGTTCATGCAGGGCAAGATAGGCAAAGACCGCGGCGAGAGCTTTGAAGTGTCAAATGTTGGAGTCTTGAACCCCAACCAGGCAGAAGACTTGTCGCGGCCGCAGATTGGACGGGTGATGTTCTCCCAGACGCCCAGTGCCTCGAGTGCTGCCCTGGTGGTGTCTTCAATCACAGGCGGAGATGGCTCGTTAGTCCTGGGCATCACATGGCAGAAAGGCGTTGCAGAGCCGGAGCTGTTCGATGCTGTTATCGAAACGCTGGTGAAGGAGCTGCACAATGCTGCTCAATGACTCGGATGAGCCATGTATTTGAGATGTCATTTTGGTTGATGTTATATAGTGGATTGTATAGGCCTGCATAATAAGTAATGAATGAGCTTTGTTGTGATTGATGGATGAACTCCGCGGCCAAGGAGCGGCCTCGAGTCCGACGATCGCGCAAGGCGGTAGGCCTGGTTCCTCGGCAGAATCGCGGGGAAAGGCCCCTTCCATCATTGTTTCCATCGGTTGAATTCGATCCATCATCTACAGTTTCTCGTCTGACCAAGGGAAACGATATCAAAATGCCTCCCCGCGCCCCCTATATCGTGCCAGCGCTCAAGAAGCACACCGCGACGGTGATCATGGCCCACGGCTTAGGCGACAGGTTGGTTTCTAGCGTATAGCATCCCGATTTACATTTGGCTGACGGTTTTCTGCATATAGTGGTGCTGGATGGTACGTTTCCCGACTATATCCTTCCCACATAGTCCGACTATTCCCTCCTAAAACGGATACTAATCGACCGGACCGATAACAGGATGGCTCTCGCCCAGAA